AAAGTATTTCATTTATCTAGAGGACTAGGAAGCAGATATCAAGAATTTCGAACGATAATGTTATCAAAGCCCCCATATCCTGCATTTAATCAGTTTATCTTAGCTCTCAAAGAACATGATCAAATGCGATCTCTTAAAGTTGAAGAAGAAAAAATATCCAAAATTTATCACAACCATACTTACTATAGTTAAAGAGGGAGAAGTAGAGGTCGAGGAAGGCAATTTTCTTCTAGAGGGAGGGGTTTCCCTCAAAACAGACAACAAAAGTTCAACAATTCCAACACTGCTCGACAGACTTTTCATAAGGAAAATACTCATTTTGCTACAATAAAACAATTCCCTACCAAATCTAAACACTAGGTAATATGTCAAATTTGTGGAAAAACAAATCATGTGGCTATTGATTGTTGGAGCAGGTTTGACCACTCRTATCAATCCGAAAATATACCAAAAGCTTCTTGCAACTATGAGCCTTCTTAATGATGGAGATCACACAGTCTACACTGATTCCAACATCACAGCATACATCACCATCAACACTGGTAAGATGACTAGTATAAAACCCTATAATGGTAGAAAGAAAGTATATGTAGGTAATGGATAAGGATTAAAAATTACTCACATTTGGCAAGTCAATAAACTCTTAAAACAACACACTCTTTTTAAATGATGTACTAGTAATTCCTGACATAAAAAAGAACTCGTTATCTGTAAGTAAATTAATCTCAGATAATGACTGCTCTGTTGAATGCTTTGCTAACCATTTTATTGTGGAGAATGAACAGGGACTGATCATGACCAAAGGATTTAGGAGATATGGACTCTATGCTTTAAAGGATTAAGAAATTGTTGCCAAAAAGGATTTTACTGCATTCTTTGCTTTTAATAAATGCTCAGCATCTATGTGGCACAATGCTTAGGCCATYTAAATGAACGAGCTTTGCAATTTTTATTTGATAAACACTTCATTGATATTTCTAGTTGGAGAAAAGCTGAAAACATCTGTACTAATTGTCAAATGATAAAAAGTTGTAAACTTCTCTTTCATACAAGCTCGAACTTAAGTAAATTTCCTTTCATAAAGTTCATTGCGACTTATAGGGTCCTGCTCCTATTACCACTACTCAAAATTTTAAGTACTACACTTGCTTTATAGACGATTTCTCTAGATTTACAAGGTTATATCCACTAAAAATGAAATCCGACTTTTTTCAATCTATTATCAAGTTTCAAAAGGAGGTAAACAATCAACTTGTGTTGAGATTGGTGGAGCCAAATCGACGTTGGAAAGAGCTAGGGACRAGTAGGGATCGAGTCAGGACGCGTCAGGATGAAAAATGGATGAAAACAGGTGAAGTGGAGYGCTGCAGGCCGTGAGGTCGAGGAGACAGCGCCTCGGCACTATTGCAGGGCCATGACGCTATGGAGCACTGCACAGCACCACGGGGCTGTCAAGATGGGCATGCGAGCATTTTTGTTCCGTCCGTAGTGCCATGGTGCTATACAATGTCATGACGCTGTAACAATGTTTTATAAACACACTAGCTTCGGTTTTAGGGCTCTTTAGCTGTTTTGGGAGCAGTGAATGACAGTTTCAAGGTAGAGGCTTGGGGTATTTGTAGAGGCATTTGGGCAGATCAAGATCGACATATTCGGGGTAATATGATCTTGATTCTTGTGAGTTTTTAATTCTTATACCTAAGTATAGTCTGTTATAATACTTATAAGCTAGATGGCTTTTGTTGGGGCTTCTAGAAGGTGAATATCAAGGTGAGATATTTGAGTGCTTTGTATCTAATCTCTAATTATAGTGGAACCCGCATCTGATAGGAAGAATGGACGGAGCCCATAAACTATTGGGGTGAACCAGTATAAATTCTTTGTGTCATTTTCTACTTTTCCCTTRATCTCTTATTTGTGTAGTGTGATTGTGATTTGCTAGATATAACTATGGAAGGGGAAATTGTTTGGAGCATCTAATTTCCCTACAAGTGATACCAGAGCTGTAARGTTGTAGTATCATGAGGTCCAGTTAGAAGTCACATCATTGTTACTTCGAATGGATGTTGAGATTTGATTGGGAGAATTTTGGGTTTTGGAAGATGTAAGTGGTGGATCTTCTAACATGCAAGAAGATACRCAATACCCTAAAAGAACAACTGGCCACTAGGTTATTAGATAAAGAYTGGATAGAGGTGGATGAACAAGCAGTTGCAATCACCAGGCTGTGTTTATCGATGAACGTGGCGAGCGTCGTGGCGAATCAGAAAACAGCAATGAGACTGATGAAGGCTTTTACTGATGAGTATGATAAACTTTCTACCAACAGCAAGGTGTATCTCATCACGAGATACTTCAACATACACATAGAGGAAGGTACCTTAGTGAACTCCCACATAAATGACGTCATGGATCTGGTGAACAAGCTGGAGTCAATGAAGATTACTTTTTTAGATGAGGTGAAGACTGTTAAATCGCTGTCCTCTTTACCTGACAATTAACAGACGATAAAGACGACAATGTCAAACTCGTTGGAAGATAAGAGTCTGAAATTTTCAGATATCTGTTACGCTGCAATTACTGAGGAGCATCGCAGAAAAGGAAGTGAGAAGAGTTCTCCATTCACTTTTAGAGGGGAGAACAGGTTGGAATGAGCATTAGTAGCTCAGAGTAAGGACAAAGGGAAGATGTGCTATAAAGGAAAGTAGTAGTATAACAACCAGAGAAGTGGGAGTAGTAATGGAAATGTGGAATATTTTTAATGCCACAAGATGGAATAGGTTAGTCAATTTTATAGGAAGCTTAAGGAGGATAAATAGAAGGGGGATTCTACTAATGTTGTAGAAGAAAGAGTAGAAGAGTCTATGGCTTGTGTTGATAACGACTTAGTAGATCGATCATCAGAGTGGATTATAGACACTGCAGCATCGACACATGTATCTTTAGACAGAAAGTGGTTCTCATCTTTCATTAGTCAACATGGCGTGGTAAGAGTGGGGAATGAGAGTGTCTATAAGGTTAGAGGAATTGTAGATGTCTGTTTGAAAACTGACAGTGGGATCGAGTTCGTGTTATGAGCTATCAAGTATATTCAATGTTTCAGAAAGAATTTGTTATCGGCTGGAAAACTTGATGACTATGGTTATAGGAGTAAGTTCGCAGAGGGTAGCTGGAAACGTTTGAGGGGATCCGAGGTAGTGGCAGTGGGTAATAACTCTGCAAAAGAGAGTTATTCTGGTATTTATTTGGGTGAACATGTGCATTAAAATGTCAAAGTGTGTCGGTTTTAGGTCATAATTAGCACAACTAGTGTTTAATTGCAAACTCATAGCTAAACATACTTAGTCTTGAGAACTTTGGCCAAAAACAGCATAAACGCTCGTATTTGTGGTTCTTTTGCACAGATTTTAAAGGAAGAGCCGAGAAGAGAAAGAATTGTGGAACCAGGGAGGAAAAGCCAAAGCATTGTCAAGTCGGAGCATATAAAAGCTGGAGCATAGCGATATTAGGGCATGGGTGTCCGTACAGTTAATTCAAAAACATGGGATTCACTTATGTCCGTACAATCCTTAGTCGGGTGCCCTAAAAACAGGACCAGATATTTAAACGAAAGGTTGCCCTAGCCAACGGACACACAGATCCAAAGAGAGACAAAATTTGAGAGCTCAAAAGACCAAGGGAGGGAATATACCCATTTTCTGGAGGAGAGCTGAYGCTAGAAAGGGGAAGCTCGTCTGCTGCTTTCCGCTGACTGCTCTTCTTCTTTGTCATTTAGCTAATTTTCTGCTATTGATTGTATTTCTTCTTCTTTCATTTTGTTTTTTTTTTCTCCCATTATGAGCTAAACCCCATTTCGGGGGAGGTTCACACGCTGTAACTGACTTGAGACTGAATCTCTTGCATGCTACATTTATTTTTAAGCAAATATGAATTTATTTCTCAATTTTTCGCATTACTGTTGGCCGCTGTTTCGTGTATGTTAGCTCCCATATTTACCCGGAAGGGCTTGTGGGTGTTCATTTGTTTTGCTTGTGATTAGCACTTTTCTATAGCTACAGGGATACTCAGGAATGGGGTCCCCTAACCATGTCTATAGTTTGGATTTATTACTTGGGTATTTAGCAATAGAAGTTGTATTTACTCATGTTTGATGTGTCTCGGAAGGGAACCGAGTCGAACTGGGCAATAATAAATGTTAGCTACGCTAGAGTATAGGTTGATAACGTGTTAATGTATGCTGAATCTCCCCCGCCACCTTCATATCTTTTAATCCCCYATTATCGCTTACTGTGCTGCTATTKGCTTGCGTCGATAGCCTTTAAACTATTGTTTCTTGCAACGTTCTGTCGTCCTGTTATTCCTTTGTTTTAATTCTTCTAGATAATATTCATACTCAACTCTGTATATTTTTTAATGGTTGGTATCTGCTTGTATCCTTAAAATATAAACCAAAAATCCCTGTGGATACGATCTCGTTACGTACTACAATCGACTATTCGTGTATACTTGCACGCATTGTCGACACAGTTGTATGGACGCAACAAGTTTTTGGCGCCGTTGCCGGGGATTTTTGTGATTTTATTTTAACATTGATATTTGTAGATACAGTGCTGAAGTGATTTTTCTCATTTTCACATTTGTATTTTGCTATGTGTTTTGTTTTTTAGGTGCATGAATGATTACGAAGGATTAGAATATATTGTTGATCATGAAATAGAGCACGCTCTCCACAGAAATCGCGGCAGCCAATATGGACTGAGTAAATCAGCCGGTTCCACCTATTATGCCTTTAAGACCAAATATGAGAGTAGAGGAAATAGTAGACGGGATTCCTGTCGCTGCTCATCCTGATGTAAGCAGTGCCCCCTCTCAATGTTGTACTCTTGGCAGATGACATCGAYAGGGAAATCAGAGCATATGCAGCTCCGGCATTTTAGAAATTCAACCCAGTTATCACGGAGCCAGAAATTGAAGCTTCCAAATTTAAGCTGAAATAAGTGATGTTTCAGATGCTTCAGACAGTGGGTAAATTTCATGGACATGCTACGGAGGACCCGCATCAACATTTGAAATTCCTTATGGGAGTTTGCAATTCATTCAAGGATGAAGGATTGAGCAAAAAAGTGATGAGGCTTAAGCTATTTCCGCATTCACTTAGAGATGAAGCCAGAACGTGGTTGGAGTCCCTTCCTTCAGAATCTATTACAAGTTGGGATGACTTGGCTGAGAAGTTCCTGATGAAGTACTTCCCACCCAACAAAAATGCTAAGTATCGCAATGAGATCAACAATTTTCAGCAATTTGATGGGGAATCAGTCAGTGAATCCTGGGAGCGGTTCAAACGATTATTGTAGAGGTGCCCTCACCATGGGATCCCAATATGCATATAGATAGAGATATATTACAAAGGTCTGGATGAGGCCACACGTCTTGTGATTGATGCGTCTGCAAATAGGGCTTTGCTAGCAAAACCCTGCTGAAGCATTTAATATTTTGGAAAGAATATCATCAAACAATCACTCATGGTTTGATCCTAAAGCTGTTCAAGGAAAATCGAGCAAGGCGCTGGTTGAGTCTGAATCATATACTACATTGAATTCAAAGATTGAGAATCTGACGGACTTGGTAATGAGAAGTATAACGCAGCAAAGTCCAGCTGGAGCATCAGTTGGTATGRCTAATGTTAATCAAATTCAAGGAATTTCTTGCTCTTTCTACGAAGGAGACCACCATTACAACAACTGCCCTGGAAATCCGGAGTCAGTTTATTATCTGGGGAACCCGCAGAATAATAGATACAATTTGTATTCGAACACGTACAATCCTGGCTGGAGGAATCACCCTAATTTTTGTTAGAGTGGCAATCAAGGAGGACACAATGCGGGAACATCTAATGCTCCAGCATTTCAGCAAAAGGTAAGTTATCCTCCTGGTTTTGCAAATCAAGGACAAGTGGTAACATAGAGGCAATCCGAAGGATCATTTGCATCATTGGAAAAGCTGATGAAGCAATACATGGCCAATAATGATGCCACTGTGGAAAGACAAGTTTCACCATTAAGGAACCTAGAATTGCAAGTAGGCCAGTTAGCTACGGATCTGAATAGCAGACCGATTGGAGCATTACCCAGCGACACGGAAGTGCCAAAAAGAGATGGTAAGGAACAATGCAAGGCCCTCACTTTGGGAAGTGGTAAAGCATTACCTCCGGTGCATCTGAATGCCCCAGCATTGAGCAAGGAACATACTTAAGTTGACCACGAAGAAACTCAGCCAGAACAGGACAGTAAGCCAGCAGAAGTACTCGTGACCACTCAACCAGAACAAACAGCTGGACAACCAAAGGACGGTCAAAACACACCGTTGGTGGAAGCTCTAGAGCAAATGCCAAATTATGTGAGGTTCTTGAAAGAAAGACTTACAAAGAAAAGCACGTTGGGAAAATATGAAACAATAGCAATGACTAAGGCTTATAGCACTATACTCACGAGCAAAATTCCTGCAAAGATGAAAGATCCTGGGAGTTTCACCATACTAGTTTCAATTGGGGGACAACAGATAGGGCTTGCCTTATGCGATATGGGCGCTAGCATTAATCTTATGCCATTATCAATTTACAACAAGTTGGGCATTGRGGAAGCAAGGCCCACAACAGTGACATTGCAGCTGGCGGATCGATCCATTACGCATCTAGAGGGAAAAATTAAAGACGTGTTGGTACAAGTAGATAAATTTATATTCCCTGCTGACTTCATTATTTTGGATTATGATGCAGATAAGGAGGTCCCTATTATTCTTAGAAGACCATTCCTCGCWATTGGGAGAGCTTTAGTAGATCTCCACAAGGGCGAACTCACAATGCGTGTACAAGATCAAGAAGTGAAATTTTCGATGCATGACTCCATGAAATTTCCTGCTGAATCTGAACAGTGCTCAGTATTAAAGATCTTGGATGAAGCGTTAATGGAGGAGCTGGAAACAGAAGTCATGCTGGAAYGTCTAGAAGCAGTTGGTGCCGAAAGTGTGGCCGTCGCGTTTGAAGAGGAGCTAGAAGATGTCAAATCAGAATGCTTGAACACAAAAAAAGGATTTATGAAGAAAATATATGAATCCCTAGACCTCACAAACCCGAAGCTTAGATTACCCAAGCCATCTATTGAGGACCCGCTAGTGCTGAATCTTAAAGCATTGCCGCAGCATCTGAAATATGCTTACCTGGGTTTATCAGAGACATTTCCAAGCATCATAGCAGCAGACTTACCCTTAGAAAAGGAGCAGATGCTGTTGAATGTACTCAAGACACATCGGAGAGCAATTGGATGGACTATTGCGGATATCAAGGGGATAAGCCCCAGTTTCTGCATGCATAAGATAATGCTAGATGAGGGTTGCAAGAACTCTATAGCGCCCCAGCGTAGACTCAATCCAGCTATGAAGGAGGTGGTAAAGAAATAAATTATCAAGTGGTTGGATGCAGAGATCATATATCCGATCTCAGATAGCGAACGGGTAAGTCCAGTGCAGTGTGTGCCCAAGAAAAGAGGTATAACTGTAATGGAAAACGCAAAGAGTAAGTTGATACTCATGAGGACAATGTCTGGATGGCGTATATGTATGGATTACCGCAAGCTAAACAAAGCCACAAAGAAAAACCACTTTCGTCTCCCCTTCATCGACCAAATTTTGGACAGGTTGGCAGGTCAGKAGTATTACTGTTTTTTAGATGGTTACAACGGCTATAATCAGATTACAATCGCTCRTAAAGATCAGCAGAAAAYGACTTTTACTTGTCCCTATGGAACGTTCGCTTTTAGGCAAATGTCATTTGGGCTTTGTAATGCCCCAGCAACGTTCCAGAGATGCATGATGGCCATCTTTTCTGACCTTGTTGAATCATTAGTTGAGGTGTTTATGGATGATTTTTCAGTCTTTAGAAAATCATTTGCAGAATATTTGGATAACTTGAAGAGGGTGTTGCAAATATGTGAAGAAACAAACTTAGTCCTGAATTGGGAGAAGTGTCACTTCATGGTGCAAGAAGGAATTGTGCTAGGGCACAGAGTCTCCAAAAAAGGCATAGAAGTGGACAAGGCAAAGATTGAAGTAATAGAGAAATTGCCCCCACCTGTGAATGTTAAGGGTATCCGCAGTTTCTTGGGACATGCCGGTTTCTATCGCAGATTCATAAAGGACTTTTCGAAAATCTCTAAACCTCTTTGTTCTTTTCTTGATATTGATAAAGAATTTAACTTCACATCTGACTGTTTGCAGGCGTTTGATACATTGAAGTATGCTCTCACCCATGCTCCGATAATGACAGCTCCAGATTGGAACCAGCCTTTCGAATTAATGTGCGATGCCAGCGACTACGCTATGGGAGCAGTTCTTGCTCAACGCAGAGGGAAGCTGCTGCACCCGATTTACTATGCCAGCAAAACTTTGATCAAGGTACAKATTAACTACACCACCACGGAGAAAGAACTATTAGCAGTGGTGTTCGCCTTTGAAAAATTCAGATCATATCTAGTCGGGTCAAAGGTGATTGTTTACACGGACGGACCATGTGGCTCTGAAATAGTTACTGACAAAGAAGGATGCTAAACCAAGACAGATKCGTTAGATTTTACTACTGCAAGAATTCGATATAGAGATCAAGGACAAGAAAATGATAGAAAATTTGGTTGCTGACCACTTGTCCAGGCTGCCTACTCTGGAATGCCCCGAGAATAGGATTGAAATTAGAGGAACCTTCCCAGATGAGCAAGTGTTGGCTACTGGAGTTCGGAATGGAGATGAGGAACCACGGTTTGCAAATCTAGCCAACTATATTGCTAGTGGAATTCTACCAGCAAGCATGAACAAGCAACAGCTGAAAAGGTTTTTGTATGAGAGTAAGTTTTATTTGTGGGATGACCCATATCTCTATAGGATTGGCCAAGATAAAGTGATTAGAAGATGCATCGCCAAGGCTGAAGCACGACAAGTGCTGGCTAAATGTCATTCG